TGGCGGCGCTGCACGGCGCCCTCCTGCACGGCCCGCTCACAGCAGACCTGGAGATGCAGGTGAGGGAAGAACCTGCTCCGAGCTTACTGCTCAGCGACCGATGTCTTAGACAAAGCAGGGGCAGGGCATGAGCGTTACCTGCCAAAGAAGAAAAGTCCTGATAGTGCCATCAGCTGGGCTGTCCACGCTACTTTATTGGCCAAGGCTGTCCTGAAAACGTTTTATCTCTGTATCGCTACTAAATGCAAAGTGTTAGTACCAACACCAGAATTTCTATAGTCTCTTACACAACATGGCTGAATGTAGAGATGTGACAAACTCCACTGTTCTTGTTCCTTCAGATTATTCGGTGGATTTCTGATAACCTGTCAACATGTCATTCTTTTGACCCCATCCAAGAGTTTATCATTGGTAGGTATTCCTTTTCCTGCATACTGAATTGTCATGCATACCCTAGTTGTGACTTCAGGAGAAGCCACAATGTCTCTTTGGTTACAATTTGTTAACTGGCCTGTGGTGTTAGAGAAAACATCAGTAGTTTAGAAATAGATCTCTTCAAATCAGATTAGCAGTAAAAATTTTCAAACGCGTTCTTCTATCTCCTGGGACAAATAGGTTTATTGTTATTTTAGGTCACTGGAGAGCAAATTCTCCATCTGGCTTCTGTCTTGGTTATCTGGGATGTAAATAATTGAGATTGGATTGGAAGAACAAATCTCTTCTAGCTTCCTCAAACCATTTTTTCATAAGGATTTGGTGTATCATGGTATTCTCTAATGGTTATTCCTCAGCCTAGCCAGTGCATGTCCTGTGCCCTGAGCCTTTGTACAAAGGACCCCTGCAGTGCTGAGCTGTAGCCAAGCAGCTGGCCCAGCCCTGCAGCCATCTGGACTTCTCTTCCTCCTTTTGTGCACAGAATGGGACCAGTTCCACCACGGAGGAAGCTGTTTCAGAGACAGCAGCAGGATTTGTCCCTAAAAAAATGTTAGATAAGGAACAGACTGTGAAGCCTGCTCTTGTTAACGGATAGTTTATACAATCTTGCCCTTATAAATCTTTTTATATTGCATTCAGCCTCTCTGTACTGCAGATTATGTGCAGAAACTCCCAATCTGGATAAACTTTTGCCCTACACGTCACTGCTTGACTGGATTGGGGTAAGATAACAGCTGGTACTTTAATAGCTAGAGGGAGTCTGTGTTTGTTTTTTCTCTTAGTACAGCCTTTAACTTGTATGCCTTACCTTTTCAGCAGCATGCTGTAAATCCATATCTGTGCTTTATGCCCATTTTATTCTGTCAGGTCTTAACCGTAGAGGTGTTCTCTGTTAGTCCTATCTTTTTGTCAGCAAATAAAAGCATTTATAAAGCAAGAACAGCTACAATAATGGAATGGGTGATTAAGTTGCTGTATTCATAATGAGGTATTAATTTATTGCATATCATATGGGGTTTATAATAAATACAGAATGTATATAACCAGCAAAATCATGCAGTTATTTCCAAGAAAAACAGTATCATTAGAGTTAAGATTCATGAGTGAGTTTGCAGAAGTAAAATAACTTCAGGCAAGATTCTACAGATAGGGTAAACAGCTTATTTTAATTTCTCTGATCTGACACTGTTCTAATATGTTGTCTTTTTTAAAATTATATGTATGAGAGAAACATCTTCTGTATTTTTGGCAAAAATGAATGTATAGTTTTGGCTGGCTAGTATCATAAATGAAACTGATAATGGATATTCACTTAGGTACCCAAATAGGCCCATGTTTTATGCTAAATAATTCTTATAATTTGTCTGTATTTATAGATTATCCCTGGAGTAACATGTTCAACAGACATAATTTCTCTACCTGTGTTAGAGGTAAGAGCCAGTATAAAACCCCATTTGTCTTTGCAGATAAGGAGCTTTTCTGTGGAGTGGGCCTGTGCTAATTACCACTGAAGCAGTGTCCCCACAGCCCTATCCAAAAATAGGGGTGAGCAGAAAATTGCCCTGTTTGAAATGGCTTATGCATCTACTGAAATAACAGTTACTCAGACTGATGTGTTCTAGATCAAAGATGCATTTTTTTTTTTCCCCCCTTTCTGAAGAGACTTCTTCCATTCAACAGGGAAAATCCTCCAAGAATTAATTCTTGTTATATTAGATTCATACCTCTTCACTTTGCAACTTCATTAGCTGGAGGTAAACTTAGCACAAGAGCCATATAAGATTTCTACATGTAGCTCAAAGTGGGGATACACAGAGATTCACTGTCCCGCTGCTGGTACCAGTGGTTCACGACCCTCTCACTTTGTTCTGTCCAGAGCATCCTGTGGCTGCACTGCTGCCAGGGCTCTGGCTAGCTAAATCTGGACAAATTCCTGCACAGCCTGGAAAAGGCAGCGAGCTGGATGAGGAGATCATGTGCTGTTTGGGTAGGAAATTGAGCTTTCCGTTGAAAACAACACGAGTGATTCTTCCCGTCTTCCATTCCACTCCCTCAGCTCCAGTTTAGAGAAATACTTGAAATTTTCCTGAGTGTTCCCCTACAAAATCTAAAAGGGGCTTTTAATAAACATCTTGTTATGGAGGGCTAGTGGGGAGAGTTGGAGTTTGAACGCAGCCGTACCAGCAACAAATGGGAGCAAACTCTGAGTACATGATAATATTGTTTTGTGTAGCACTTCAGAGAGGTGAGAGTCCGTTTCTTCCACAGTGCTTATAATTAGCTCACAAAACTTCAGCTTTCACAAAAACGTAAAATCAGTGAAACTACCCACTGTTCAGTCACCCCACAACGGTGCATCACGGCTGTGCTGCTATGGGCTCACAAGACTGCTGTCAGGGTATTGGGCTTTGCATTCTCTGATTGGAAGGGCAGCCCTGGGAGCTGGAACACCTGGGAAAACCAGATCTTGAGAAATTTTGTTTCTAGATAATCCTTGTAATTCACTGAGGTCAAAGTTAGCAGGCCCTTAATTTGTCTGAGATTGAATCTTGAGCCCCTGGGGGCATATGCCTTTAGCAGCTATACTTCCTGATTGTGGAACTCATTTCCTATTTCTGTCTGAAACCTAAACAGATTGGAAAGGTCAAAGTTGAACTAAAGATAAGTATTTCCTGCTACTTTTGATTGCAAATTGCTTTGACTCTTGAGTGAGGACAAAGATGATAACACACAGGGTAAGGTTTAGAGCATTGGCTGCCTTGTACCACTCCAGTGACACAAACCCACCACGGCTCAAGTTCAGTTGTTGGAGTTTCAATTGGTGTATGTTGTGGGCATCACAAGTCAGTCCATAGTGACAAATCTGGTCCTACAAGTAGTAGCTCCTTTGCAAAGATTTTATGGCATTTCACAGAAACAATGTTAAATTGTTGCTTTGAGATGCCTTTTGGAGTTCTCAATGTGTAGTGCAAGAAGTCATCAGAGAGATCAGCACAGGAAAAGGCAGCCTCTTCCTCACACTGACCAGGACGAAGAACGGTGCTTTAAGGAGAAGCTGCACATGCAGCTACGTGGTTGGTTACACAGCTCCCTGGATGCTTTCACTGCAGGGGAGCTGTAGCACTGCAGTTCCTGGGGGGAGGACATGCACCTCTTAAAGTTTATTGCCACCCTGCATCCTTTGGGAGGGCTCTAGCAGAGAGCTTGCTTTGTCTTCAGTTAAAAACAAAACAAATATTACATATGAAAGGCCTCATGGGAGCTTGTCATGGATTGCAACCTGCTAAGGCTGCTCAACCTCTTTTAAGTGTTCATGCTTAGATATTAAGAGCTGACTCTTTAGAAATATTTGCAAAATAAACATCATGTCATCAAATGAAGAAGCCTTCTCTTTTGAATCCTTGCCATGCTCAAGCAATTACAGATTTAATTAATCCTATATTTTTAAACTTTTGACTTTTTAATGAGATCTAATACAGTACAGGTTTTCTGTGGTGTCTGCTTTTAATTCTGAACTCTGTGGCTTCCTGTTGCAGATTCAATATATGAAAGAAACTTGCTGTCTTGCTTCCCAGCCCCCTGGCACACATCAAAGTCCCGTGTGGCCTGAAAGTGATTTAACAGTGGTGGTGCTGCTGCAGTTGCTGCAATTGGTCACTAGATGTTACCCTTACACTACAGTCTTGATATTTCTCTGCTTGCCTGTTGGTAACATTTAGGCAATGTACTGCAGTAGTAGGCTGTAGATGTTGTTAGTTAGATCCGGCAGGGTGAGCATATGGTGCCATATGCACTCCCTAGTTTCCAGCTGCTAAATATAACTAGCATGAAGCAAAACTGAGATTTATTTTTCTCTGCTGCAGCTACAGCAATAAAGCAACAACCAGCACTGGCAGCTGGAGGGAAGTGGCTGACAGGATTGAGTCTCTACAATTTATTTGCCTTGGCAAATTTAATTTATAGTTGGAAGTGGTTTTAAAACACTCTGAGCTTTTCTTTTAGAGGAGTTGTCATTGTGTAAAAGTAGGAGAGAGAGAGAGAGATAGAGGAAAATCCTACATGTTAACGCAAGACAATGGAATCTTATGAACTTTTCTTCCTTCAGATGTCACTGCTGTAGTGTCTGTATTGGGAGATAAATATATATAAAGAGGGACAAGAACAGCTAGTACCATCGCTTGTCTTTTAAAGCTGCTGAAAGGAATTGCCTTAATCTCCTATCTTCCTCAGCAATGATCACATCACTCCCTCTTTTTAAACAGCAGATTCAAATCTTTACACCTAGTCCATGAACTAGCTCAGGAAACCAGTGTGTGTGTGCTTGGGTTGTTTTTTTTTTTTTTTCCTCCTCCTGTCTGCTCACAGCTATGTTTAAATTAATTTCAGCATTAGAGTCAAAGGCTTCTGAATGGCTATGGAAATGTTTGGGTTTTGTTTCTTTTGTGGGCTGAGGCACTGTTACTTGAGGTTGGCAAATGGATGTTTGCAATGTAACTATTTATTAATGCAGCTTGAAAATAGTGGCAGCCAGCAGCTGCTGGGGTCATGGTGGTGTTTGTCTGTTTGAAACTGCTAGAAACCAAAATGGGATTTATTTGACCAAATGTAAACATTTATGTCTAAGTCAGTTGCCTAAGGCTCTTTTTATAGTCAGCGGAAGTCTAGACAATATGGCAAGTGTAATCTGCGGTGCAGTTCTTCCCATCACATCCCAAACATGTGAAGCAGGTCAGATGAATTATGATCTAGCAGTGTGCATTTCTTCCCAGTGACTTCAAAGGATCCTAAGGTGGCAAAGCAGCTGCATTACAGGCACCTGACTTCAAGTTTAAGTGCTACCCCTGCTGTCAAATCAAGGAAATAAAAGTGATGGGGGAAAAAAAAAAGAGTTTAACTGCTTTTAACTTTTGTCCCTTGGATTTTTATGGAGCTACATTAATCACAGTTGTTTACAATCATTTAGTGGGAGGGTGATAGGTATTTCTCAAGAGTGCAGCCTGTATTCATGATTTCCCTGCAATACTTTTCAGTTTCAAAACTCCACAGGCTTCTGGGAGAAACTCAACTCAAACTTGGAGAGTGTGAAGTATGCAGAGCCACACTTGCATTACCACAGCAATGTGCTCAGGAGGGAGTGGCATAACCTTTCAGAAGAGGTAAATATGCATGCACTGAAACAGTCTCCAGAGCTGCCTCCAAAGCCAAACAGAAGAGCTGGCTTTTTCATTTTGAGGATGAAGAAATGGGAATCTGATTATGAGATGTGCAAAAGCTTGCAGTCATTTTACTTATGGGGTGCTTGCCTCTAAGTCTTACTATGTTAAAATAATGTGAGAAATAAACACAAGCAGACCTTGCACATGCCTGTATTGTCATGTAGGTTAGATGTGTGAGTGCCTATGAGCATGGGGAGTTAGAAGGTGGGTTGAAGCCCCAGTGTATATTATTTGCACTTCTAGGGAAAACCAGCTTAATTTCTTCTCTCTGTTTTATCAGAGTATTTTAATTGACCTGATACTTTGTTCATTTGGGGATTTTTGTTTGTTTACAAACCAGAGAGAGGAGAGAAGAACCACAGCATATTTGAGGAGTATTTTTGAAAATGCCCAAAAGTAGGTACTATTTCCTATTATATTTACCCTTTCTTATTCTCTTGAAGCATACTGAAGGATTGAAGCTGACATTTAAATAAGTGATTAAGCATCTGGTTAGATACCTTACTTTAAAGAAGATTATCCAGCTGAAAATTAATTACTGGGATCCTTGTAATCACTACAGCATGACCTGAAATATCCAGGTCTCTAGAGCTAGGGAATTCATGGTAGACATTAAGTTACTCCTATGCAAACTAGACAAATATAGAATTTTTTAAATGCTATTTAATATTTACTAAACATAGTCACATGTACACTTCTTGGATTTCTTTGAAATCCTTGACAGCAGTCTTTGAAAGATCAAAGGGTCATTTAAGCTTATAGTGTCCTTATGAAATCCTGTAGAGTAATGCATATGAAATGAGCTGATTTTTTGTTTCAACCCCCAGGGTGCTTTTACATTTGGACACTTGGGACTCTGGTAAGTAAAACTTGTATTGATGTTGGCCTTAGCTGTAAAATGCATTATGATGTTTCCATCTAGCTGTTGTTGGCTACAACCAAATTGCTGTGTGTGTTTTCAGCACAGAATAGTTTAAGGCATTAAGATGAGCATTTATTAAGCTAGAGGGAAACTTTCCTTCTGATAGTAGTGGTAGGATCATACTGACTAGGAAACCCTTGAAAATGTAGTTCCTACTGTGTATTGTATCTAACAACATAAGCAGTAAACCTTCGTCTGCCTAAAGATTTCTTCTTCAGGACTTTTCTCCTGGATCAGAGTGTCGATGACACCATGTTACTGTTGAGTCTTGCCCACTTAGAACTCTGCAAGTCTTTGCACCTCTGGAACATGTGTGTGGTACAGATGGTGGCTGGTGAAAAATCTTGGTATAAAGAAAGCAGACGTAATGAATTTCCCTAGGCCAGGAACACTTGTAGTTTTCTGTTGCTCAATTCCTCTGTAACAAACTGAATTTAATAGTAAATTTAGTTCCTGCAGTTCACACAAAAGTGCCTTCTGTGTGCCCTTGCCACTGTGTGCTGGAATGTTGCTGATCTAGGTGCTGCTCACTCCTGTTCTTGATTTTTTTTTGACTGCATTCATTTCCAGCCCCTAATGCTGGTCATCCACACCACAGCTGTTACAGCTATGGGCTCAGACTTTGAGGACCTTGGATCAACTTTGACCATCTCAGGTTCATGTTTTCCAGAGGAGCTTAGTGATAAAGAAGTGATCTGTTTTAGCAGAGGACTTTAGAGCCCTAATGGCTCAATGGTTGGACTTGATGATCTTGAAGGTCCCTTCCAACCTAAAGGATTCTATGATTCTATGAAGTCAGCTGTTACCAGAGAATTTCTGGGTAGCTTCCAGACAGTAGCAAGCATCAATGCAGTGTATATTCCCTGGGGTAAATATATATTTCCAGATAAGCCAAGATGACTGGAAAGAACTTGGTAAAAAATTTTAGCACTTCTGTCTGTAAAATATTGACTTGATTTTCATCACTTATGTGATGAAACGAGATTGTTGTCTTCCTTTGTGTAGACAGGAAGTACTTATTAGGAAATACAGGGTATTAAATGTCAGTAGATACTGTAAACTCCTTCCATTTAGCTGTAAAAGTTACATTCTTTTACATAGTGGTGTCCAAATCCCATATGCAGAAGCAGACAAACCCTTGGAGAGAACCAGGGAAGTGGTAAATGATTCTGTGGGGTATTTTCTTTCTGTCTAGCCATTCCCTTGGAAAACCCATGCAGCTGTTTCAGCTTGTTTGTTTGTAAATGACAAGATCCAAATAGTATGGGCATTTCATTGCTGTTACCAGCAGGTTCTCTGAGCTGCTTTGAGCTACTGAATCACCACACTGGTAACTCCTACAGAAAAGAGTCATGCAAGTCAAGTGTCAGGTAGCGTGGCAGGCTTGTGTTCCTCCGTTAAGCACTTGAGGGAGAGGATGGCCAATACAGGGTTACTTTACATTCCTTGGTTCTCTTAGTTCTGTAGGTGAGTAGATCAAACCACCACTTCTGTTCCTTTGTGTGTTTCTAAGTACTTTTGAAGCTGGTTGAAGTCTGGTGTTACCTCTGTACCATCATGTCCTTGAATGATTCTTGCTCTTTTTATTTCAGAGGAAAGGCTAGCACCTCTCTTTCAAGAGGAGGATTATCAGCAGCAATTGCTAATGGGACTGGTATGTGCTTTTGTCACAGTGTGCACTAGAGGACGCACAGCCTCAACAAATGTAAAGAGGAAGCTCGTAAATTCCATTGCTGAGTGGAAGCTCAGAGTAACTATGGGACAAACATGGTATTTCCTGAGTTTTATAGTTCATAGTCAGGATATCATATCATAACAAGTCATGACATTGGAAGGCATAGGGGGCAAAAAACAGCAATGAAATTTTTGTCAAAATGCTTGTTCCCAATACAAATTTTTTTTTTTTTTGCTAGAAACTATTATTCCATCCTCCTGAAGTTCATCTTAATGTCAGTGATTTTTGGACTAATTTACGTCCTTAAAACATGTATAAGTGAATTCCCCACCCACTGCTTTCCTTCAAGAGAAGACCACAGATCTTCTTGCTCCTCAAGTTACTGTCTCCGTTTCCTTCCACCTCACCTTTGGGACTGCTCTGGATGTTCTGAGGCCCCTTCCTCTTTTGCACTGGTTTCAGTGATGATCTCTCGCTCTAAAGGATCTACCATCCTTCTACCTATTTCAAATCTCTACCCGTCCTTCCTCTTTTTAAATACACATCTTTGCTTATCTCTTGTTCTATTAAAATTAAATAAAACTTTAGCATGCACTGGAAGGTCTCAGCACTGCATATGTGAAGAGCTTGTCACTGTCCTGTCCAAATTCAAGGCAAGTCTTTTCTTTGCAGTCTTGTTCCTTTGTTTCCATGTTTTGCTTCTTACTCTCTGAAGCTTCTCTAAATTCCTTCCTTGTAGTTTTAGACAAATCCGAAAAGCAGGTCACTGCTGTCCTTTGTCTGTGGTTTCCTAATAACCTATATTGCTTTGCTGACACACTGAGATTACTCTGCTTGTCAGCTCCTTGAGACAGTTTATTTGCCTGAGCTTTACTCTGGGCTTTGAAACAAATAGAGCTTCATAGTAATTCTCAGCAAAGAGCCAGCATGGACTTCAGTTGCAATCCAAAGTTATGTGAGATCAGAGTATATCAGAAAGGAGAAGGCAGGGAGTGGCATGGACTGTATGATAACAAACAGCTGATTTTAAAGACTCTACCATTAATGTTTAACCTGAAGTTGCCATTAGTCACTCAGGTACTCAGGCTCTTGGCTACTACCACAAACTGTACTACCTATAATTTTCTCTGTCATAAAATCTCTGTTTTAGTTGTACATAATAACTATTTCAGGACTCAATGTGCATGTTAAAAACCTTTTCATCCTGTTCACTTGGCTTTACCCAGAGACATTTAAGAACCATAAACTTTGTTTCTTCAATGACATTGAAGGTTCAATTTACCTCTCATTTTGCTGAATCTGAACTAAACCATTTAAAATATTCACATCTGCTGTTGAATTTGGCAAGATGGTACAATAGCTTGGCACCTCCCTCTGAACTGGGTCTTGCAACAGGGAAGCATCCTCTTGTGCTCATACCTACTGATCAGGCCCTGCACCTGCTTGAGCTTTTGTACCTTCTGAGGATGCCCATAGACACTGAATTGTTGGCTTTTTTTTTTCCTAGATGGTTGCTCAGTTAAAGGATCACCTTATGAGACATCTACAGTATGTAGGAAAAAAGAAGATTGATGAAATAGTTTTGGATTATGTTGCAAACCTGGTTAGTCTAATTTCATAATCATTATCGTGAGCAAGCATGTATTTGTTGGATAGTAGGATATTGGGTGTGTACTATGTGTATACAACATATATTTGGTGGGAGGAAATTATTTTTAAGATGCTAAACCATATTTTGCTGCTTAATGTTGCATATAATGATAAAGGAAATGATACTTAAGAATTGTATTGGTCACTCAGAATATAGAAGAAACAGTTCCCTTTACAGCTTGTGGTGTACTCCCAGAAGTGAAAATATGAACTCATCCTGAGAGTTGAAAGAATGGTCTTTATTTTTCCTTTATTTTCCCCCCTGTTGAATACATTGCTGCATGTCTTGAATAATCAAACTGCCATCAGGGAAAATAAAAAATGAGAAAATTTTCACTGTAGTATGACACAGGGGTAAAATGTCACTACTCCTTCATACTGACTTCAGTGGGCTTTTTGTGAGTGTAAGAGGAGATGGAGTTCTGCCTGAAGAAATTCATATAAACTATGATGCAAATTTGCTTTCAAAAGTCTTATTTTTATGTTTTCATTCCCTTAAGAGGAACTTTTTGAAAAAAAGCTGTAAAAACTATGGCTGTTGTGTATAGAAATGATTGTACCTGCTTTTGTGTCTCTCAACATGAAGTCCTTTAAGTGTAGAATGTAGCCCTCAAAAGCTCACATGGCAACTAACAGTAAGTTGTTTGCTGTGCTAGCCCTGCCACAGGGTTCTGGAGAAACTCCCCTCCCCAGTGCTGTTTTCTAGGGATGGGTGTATGGGGAAAGTTGTGGAGGCTACTGAGGCCTGCATCTGTCACAAGGCCTGTGCCAATCCCTTGTCCTCTCAGCGTTGGTGTTCTCTGAACTGCTGCAGCTCCCACTGAGGTTACTGACTTTCCTGTTCAGGCCTTCTCTAGAGCTTGGCAAGTTCTGTTTTCTGTATCTTTATAGGAAAGAAAGAAAAATTAGTGACTGATTAAAATAGGGACAGTACAGCGTGAAGCAAAGCTTTGTGTCTTAAAACAGTGCTGAAAAAAGTACAAATGGAGTGTTTATTCTCCTTTCATTTCTTTTTCCAGTTATCTTTTTTCATTCTTACTATAAACAAACGTAAAAAAAATGAAAGCACCTACGCAGCCTTGATCTACAGTGCTAAATTATGGTACACTAAATCTTACAATCAAAACAAATCTCAGACATCTCCATTGGCAAACTCTCAGAATTATTTTCTTAACACGACTACAAGTAAAAATTCTCTTAATTTACAGACTTTCCTTTCTTGGAAAGCTACTATAACCAAAGATACTGTGTCTCTAAAATTGCTTCTGCCCTCTGGCTGTTTGAAAATCTTCAGAAATTTCTTTGTTAGGCTTTGTTTTCCCCTCATCCTAATCAGAAGTTCTGATTTCTAAAAAAAAAAAATTTTCTAAAAGCTTGAAAGCTTTTCAGAGTAATGAATAGTTTTGATTTTGCTGATGATTTTCCGTAGCATCAGCAGTGTGTAGCTGAGCTACTGAAACTAATGAACCAAGAAGAGATTTTAAATTATTTGCTTGTCTGTTTGCTTTCATAAAGGTATTTTTTTTTATTCTATTCAGGAGCAAAGGAGTGCCTGAGAACAGGGCTTTGTGGTGTGTAGCCACTGTATAAATCAATTGCAGCTGAAGTCAAAATATCCAAGACATGGGAGCGTTGACAGTTTCTCATAGCAACGAGTCTGCTGTTTTGTCAGAGAACTGTGTGTATTTGTATACAGAGAAGTAACATGGGGAAGTGTGAATGAAATGTCTTGGTGGGAATTCCTGTGTTTGCCAAAGATCTGCAGAGCCTGAGGATGTCTGGTGACCAGTCTGCATGCCACCTAGCCAGTAGTAGTAGTTTGTATGTCCCTGTTCTATTTCCACCCTGCAATCACTTTCTTATCCTTACTCCATATCTGTTTCTCTCTCTTTTCATTCCAGTGGGGCAGGAAAGGGTGGGATAACTTAGAGAAGCAGCATGGCATTTGCTGCTCTGACAGCAAATAGTGAGGAGGGGACTCGGAGACAGCAAGACCTTGTCTTACTCCCTTTTCTCCTGCTTCTTCTCTTTGGCTACTTCCATGTCTTTCCTGTAGAAACAGCCACAGGAGCTGAGCACTTGTGGTTCCAAATTACTTCAGCAGAACTCAGTCTACTCAGCAGTGTTGCCTGGAAATGTTCTGAGACAGCAAGGTCCTTTGCCGGTGTCAGCCTCGGCCCTACTGCATGCCCTGTCTTGCCATGGATCGTGTGCTGTCTTACTAGTTTAGAGCAGTCCAAGGAAATGGCTTCTGGTACTTGCCCAGAGGAACCTCATACTGTACATCTTTGTTATTAAGTGGGTTTAGCTTTTAACTTTGTTCCCCCAGAGGCCGATTGCTGGCCTTGGAGAGGAAACTGCCTCTATAAAATAGTTTTCTTTCTCATGTGCCCATTATCCTGTGTGTTACAGGTTGAGACATGGCTTCTCTTTCTATATGTATTTTTTATAATGTCCATTGTAGGTGATAGATGCTGATCTCCAAAGGGAGTAGTGCTGTTGGTGGGAGTGTTATGTCAGAAGCATGCATGTATTTAAGATTTCAGTATGTTGTGGTAGCTAAGTGGGCTATGACTTAGGAAGTTGTTCTCTCTATGCCCTGTGAAAGCTGTACAGTTTGCTGTGTTGTTAAGCAAAGAGTATTGATTCTGGAGTATCATACCCATGAAAATTGTTTTTGTTGTGCAAATAATGTGGTTTTAGAGTTTGTAAGGACCTTCCCTTTACCTCAACACTTGTCTTCAGATCCAGCTGTATCTCCTGATGCAGAGGCATTAGCTGTAACCTGTGTGCTGGCCAGGGATGAAAGTTGTTCTGGCAGCAGGTGTGGTCTTGTGACTTTTCTCTGAAAACTGGAAATCATTAATTTCCTGGAAAATGAGTGGAGAAAACTTGCCATACTTGAGAGAGATCAAGCTGGAGCTTGCTACTGCATCAAGAAAGTATTAGGTGGTTATTCTGCATCAGGTAGCTGTGCAAGGCTGGATGGAGGGGTGGGGGGACAAAGTGCTGCCTTGTAGAGATTTCTGGCCACGGTACAGATGAGAGCACTCAGGAGCATTACTGAAGACCAATATTCCTGTTTTGGCCTTTGCACATGAACAACTTCTGCATATCCTGTTTCTGTCTTGCTCAGAGCCTGAGACAAGTTAACTGTGAGGGGCTGGCTAGACAAAGTCACTTTGTCTCTTTCATGCCTGGTTCCTCTCTCTCAGCTGCGGAAGCTTAGAAGGTCCAAGTGAGAACAGGGCTTGTGGCTTTTGTATGCTGACAGTCTGTCCTGACAGTTAGTTTGGGAGCACAGAGAAGTGACACTGGGCCAAGGGATTGTTGTACTTCACTAAGAGCAAAACCAAAGCTCAGCAGAGGAGAGACATTTTCTTTTCTTATCTTTTCCTCCTTGCCAGGACTAGATTTGTGGGATTCCTCCTGCAGACTTTTTTTCAGCAAATGGTATTCCACTGACTTCAGCATCATCCAGTTTTGTCTGGGTCCTAGGGACCTTGCCAAATGCTCAGCCACTGAGACATGTGGGTTCTGCTTTCATGGCAAACCAATCTTTGATAACTTGATGCAAGAGTGTGAGATCAGCTGATTCCCAGGAAGCATGATGTGTTAAGATGCTGTATGTCTTTCACAATGCTTTGATGAGATGGAGGCACTTAGTTTAAACTTGTGGAGTAGGACAATTGAGTTAAAATTTGAAGTTTAATCACTTTTACATTTTAAGCTTCTAGGAAAAAAGATAAATACTGAAGGCTTAATAGAAGTTTCATGATAAGGTTTTAACATAAACTGGTGTGTGAAATGAAGGCCAAGTGCCTGCTGTACAGACACCTTGTAACATTCAGTTGGTTTTGTTTTTGTTTTTTAGCTGAACCTAGTACATCGAATAATGAAAGAAGTTTGGAGGAGATACCAGCTTCATTCTTGCATCTTCTGCTTGTGAGCAAGTCACTTGTTAGAGCTTCCAGTCTGCCTTTTAAAATACAGGCATAATAATTTTGGTCTTCAACAGTACCACTTGCTTGAAGTGGTTACTCTACTGTGGATGTCAGTATGACTCAGGCACTCCTTGTAGTGATCCTGCTGTCCCTCTAAGCCAACGTGGATATTAATCGCATAGGCAGTTTTAAGGCTGGAGCTCAAAGCTGCTGAGTCCACAGTGGTCTCAAGCTGGGCAGTGGGTGTTGAACACCTATAAAAGCCAGGTCACTTGCACCAGCACTCAAAATATTTCACCTATTGCTGTTTGTACCAGGTACTGCTGAGAACCTTGTAAATGTACAGTAGTGGGGAAAGGTGACACCACAGACTGTCAACAGTGAACAGCTAGTGCCGTGAGGTGACAGACATCCAAGTACACATATGGCATCCCATGGCAATTCACCCCAAATGTGCACTAAATGCATGCATGTAGTACAACAAGTTGACTATATCTTCACTAGAGTGTTGATCTCTCAAGTTCCTAATATGTCGCTACTCTGTTAAATACAGCAATGAGAGAGGAAGCGCAGAGGAGTTCACCGTGTTCCACATCATGAGTCGGATTCTGGAAGCTGCCAATGGCCTGTGCATGCCTTTGCCTCCCGGTACGGCCTGTGCCACGCTGCTTGCATCAGGAGTGAGGAGAGCAACGCTGTGAGCTCCTCCCAGAAGAGCAGTAGTTGCAGCATACGTGTCAAGTTAGCTTTGGCAGTGTTGAAACCTGTTCAAGACAGTTACAGAGGGGAAGACCCTCCATAAATGTATGCAAGTGAAATGAGACAGAACTGAAGAGTTACCACAAATAGAGACAAGTCAGAGTTTTAGTAGTTTTCAGCTTCCATCAAAATGCTTGAGCACAGTCTTAGTTCAGAACTAAGATTTAGACTTCTTTCATTTATATTTTTTTTCCTTATCCAAATGGACTTCTATGTCATGGGCTACAAGGGAAAATTCTATCCTGGAGAAGGAAGGAAAAAAAAAAGGGTTTTCTTGTGCTGTGATCCTCCTAATATTTTTCAGTTTTGTCCTGAGAGGATTCTTTCCAGCCTTGACAGAGGAGCTGATTCTGATAGCAGACTTCCATTGTGCTGAGCTCTTCATAATTAGTCTTTTCAAAGCACTTGCTTATTTTTGTTAGGGAACGACTTCTTAACTTCTTAATGCTTTCAGTTTGTTGAATCTTTTTAGTTTGTATTTCCTGACTTATCTTCAGTCTGTGAAACTGGTTTTGGTATGAGGTTGTCACTTAAACTTACACTGTGTGGGTGCAAATGGTGCCACATGATGACAAGACCATCACCTGGATGGTGATAAGTGAGAAACTGAAGTCTCAGTGCTGCCTGTAGGAATCATGGAGGCAATAAGGTTGGAAAAGACCTTCAAGATCATAAAATCCAACCATCAACCCAACACTACCATGACCTGAAGTACCACGTCCACATGTTTTTTGGACTCCTTCAGGGATGGCGATGCCATGACTTCCCTGGGCAGTCTGTTCCAATGCATCACCACTCTTTCAGTAAAGAAATTCTTCCTAATATCCAATTGAAACCTCCCCTGGTGCAACTTGAGCCCATTTCCTCTCATCCTATTGCTAGTTACCAGAGAGAAGACACCAACACCCACCTCACTACAACATGCTTTCAGGTAGTTGTAGAGAGCAAACAGGTCTACCCTCAGCCTTCTCCTCGCCAGGCTAAACAATCCCAGTTCCCTCAGCTGCTCCTTATGAGCTTATCTCATAAGATATGCTCCCCAGACCCTTCAGCAGGTTTGTTGCCCTTCTCTGGACCTGCTCCAGCACCTCAGTGTCTTTCTTATACTGTGATGCCCAACAGTGAACCCAGTACTCAGGCTGTGACCTCACCAGTGCAGAGTGCAGGGGCATGACCCCTTCCCTACTCTTGCTGGACAGTTTTTGATACAGGCCAGGATGCTGTTGGTCTTCTTGGCTCATGTTCAGCTGGCTGAGTGTCTGGATGGCAGCCATATACTGAGGGTGGTGAGGCCTCCGGTTCTAAGAGGAAAAAGGGAGATAAAAGACTAATTAATATACTAAGTCAGATGTAAGGCAGCAGCTTGAAGATGTTTAACAACTGTGTATGACTATAGTGGCTGTTTTCAGTCTCCTTGGTTCTCCTCTGACAGGATTGTACTTTAGAGGACTTAGAGAATGACTAAAGACTACTGAAACTGATTTCCTCATCAGCTAGAAACAAGTTAAGGAAAGTGTTTGCTTTAGCTACAGTAGTGCTAGTTCCTAATGTAGACTGAGAAAAAAAAAAAAAAACCAAACCAGTTTTGTTGTACCAAACAAGGAATGTCTCTTTCACAGGTTTTCACACCCTGCACTTGGGGCTTGGTATTCGATGCCTCCCTCTGCACACCCTCCTGCACTATATTGATACTGGAGTCCTGCGTCTGACAGAAACTTGTGTCAGCAAACTGCTGAAAGGTACAGTGAGTTTTCATGTGTTTAGTTTGTTCCCAGCCAGCTCACTGGGGATGATGTCCTTTCAGCTGTTTGGGCTCTCACAGGATGTACTGCCTGGGAAACTCATCTCAGAGAGTTGTTTTGGGGAGGGCTGTAGCCAATGATGTTGCCTAGCTGAAAGGAGAAGGTTAGGGCTCAAACTATATGATTGAGTTTTACCATAGTAGACAAAGAAATATCTGTTTGGAAAGAATTTGAGCTTACAATTTTTCTACTTGGGGCTTCTTAGAGAAGTGAATAATAAAGCTCATCATAGACTTTCCTTGGGGGGGGATTTCTGTGAAAATTTATGAGAGTGCCCATGTATGAGTAAGGAACTTAGTCTGCTGTCCAGTGCTCAGCTTTATCTTGTTCCAAACATAAAGTAAATCCTAGTGCTGGAATTAGCAAATGGCTAGAAGCTCTGTGCTAGGAAGTGATTCAAAATAAGCAAATTAAAGTCTGCTTGGCTGACCAATATTTTTAGTAAATGTTGAACTTGTGAATGGCTTCTAAATGTATTGTACTGGTAACTAAAAGCAGGAGATAAAGAAGCTCTGTATGAATCCCTGTAGTCACTGGGACCAGATCATGTTCACTATGTGGCTTTCTTCTCAGCAGGAGCTAAGTAGCTTATTTTCACAAAGGAGGTTTAGGAGTAAGCTAGCACACACCTGGGAATGACAGGGGCCTTAAGCTTCAGAGTGAAATTGGGGGTGGGACAAAATGGCAGTTGCAGGCACAGTCAGTCACACTTGGGCTAATTACCTTTCCTAGGTCAGAAGGCAGGAAGAGACACCTGTAGCATGAGGTTCCTGGGATGCAGCAGCACAACTCTCCAGCAGTAAAGCACTTGGCTACAGCTCCAGCCATGTTCCTTTGTAACGTGCTGTTTCTCTGGTGTTCAAGAGAGGGACAACACAATGTGCTCCATAAATCTGTGCCTGGTCTTGATAAATGAAAGATTATAAATGTGGGGAGTTCTGCTGAACAGGTTTGAGTTACTGTACAAATTGTTACATAAAGAGGTGAACTTACATGCACAAATACATAAAAATATTTATGTAAATGGTATTAAATAATACTCCTAGTACCACTTACTTAAAATCAACTTTTTCCTTTCATTATGGAAATTTGTATTTGTTCAGAATGTCTTCAGTTGAAAGTTTATGTGCTTACTGGTTTGGGTTTTGTCCTTTTTCTTCCTTTCTCTTATAGACCTGGATGACACTGAGAAAAATGAAAAGCTGAAGCTCAGTATTATCATGAGGCTTCCCGAGGTAACTAATGCCTTTGGATTTCACTACGTGGATTCTGGAATTTCCTCCTGTCCTAGTTTTCCAATAGAAGATTCACCTGTAACTCAAATAGGGTGCAGATATAACCTGGACTTCCACAGTTTCTCCACCTGCTGCTCACGACCTGTAGAATACTCTGATAACTTAGATGATAGATTTAACTGTAGTGTGTTACAGTGGCCCCAGTGCCCAGCAGGAAGCAAATACATGAGACTGATGCTGTTTTGCTGAGCACTCATCTGCAGAAAGCAGCATGGGTTTAACAGAGCTTAAAGAGGATTTATGAAGGGCTTGTGTGTTTTTTAACATTCACAAATGCCGTTCCCATTTGTGACCTCTGCATTAGGTTTTATATATTTTGTTATCAATTATGTTCAAAAGCTGGTACCATAAAAGCTGTGAGACCTGATCATAGGAGATGCCTGTGGTGGGGATTGAATTACAAGGTCTCCCCCTATGAAATATCTCAGTCATGCCCATTGGGAAGGTGACTAGTTGAGCTGCATGCTGGAACTGTGTACTGATGCTCCATTAGAAGTTCCACCAGATAGAAGATTGACTTCTTTTCCCTTTTTGTTCTTAGTGCACGCCACAGTACTGCAGAGGGATCACAACATCTCAGTGAGCAGAGGAATACCAGGGATCCCCCTTGGGAACTCCTTGCTGTAGAACAGGCTTTTCTCAACATAAGTTGCTTATTGTTTGTTCATTATGAGCTATTACGTATAGTTCAAATGGCCAGAAGTGCCACTTTGGTTTTCTTCGAACAAGGGCTTCTTTATTTGGCAGCAGTTCTGAGAAGTGGTAGGGAGGGAGAACTCCACAGGAGGTTCTTTGTATCTTGTTTTGGGCATGTGTTGGTGAGCTGGGGTCAGCATGGGGCCTCTCTGAGCTGCCAGCCTCAGGCCTGGTGGGTGGGGAACACCATTCCAACCAGGCTTTGACGTGAAGGGCTGAGCTGTGGGGGCTTTAGGGAACGTGTACTGCTAGTTACACACAGTCGGCTCAGTGCCTTATTGTATCTATTTAGAGCTTTGGGAAAAAAATGAAGATAATAGTTTGTTTGCCAGAAAGGACACTTTGGGGTCAATCAGACTATTTTGAGCAGGTTACATTCAATAGATGACTTCAGTTGCATCAGAAGCAAGTATTTGGGAACCATTGAAAGTGTCCAGCATTTCCTAAATGAGCTCTTTCAGTAGCCTGCATTGCAATACAACTGGAAGGGAGGGTGGAGGCCGGGAGGGAGAGATCTGGATAGGGAAAATAGCAGAAGGTGGAGCTAATGTGGAGCTTAGTGTGCTCATATTTATCATTGGAAGTTTTGGGACATCTGGGTTTGAATCTCTTTTGCCTTTTGGAATGTGAATCAAGGTAATCGATTCCCAGGATGATGTCCTAAATAATGGGATGCAAGTTCTGTTCCCAGTATCTCTCCTTGTCAGCATTCTGCTTTTGTAAGAAAGATTCCTTAGGCTGGGCCTGACAGAAGCCCTGTTCTGAACAGGACATTGAGGAATGGGGCATCTCTGTTCTTCAGGAGAAGAATGGATCTAAACCAAAGAGTCACAGTAAAGGATAAACAGTCATTTTAAACCTCAATCTGTATTTAAGTACATGTGAAAAGTGGAACACACTGATTGATAGAAACTTGCTGAGTAGCTCAGAGGATACTGAGTAGCAACGTTTTGATTGTTTCCCACATTTTGGGAACATTAATGGCTGTGAAAGGAAGGTTCTGTGGCTAAAAATGATGACATTTTAGGTTATGTTATCAGTATCTGAAACCAAAATATCTGTGTTTGGGTTTTTTTTCCTCCTTTTCCTCCTTTTCTTGCTCCTGAGTTTCCACTGTTCTGTGTCTACATTCTCAGGTTTTGGGGTTGTTTTTTTTTTTTGCTTACTAGGCTCTTGGTCAAAAGCTCTGCCAGTTTTGGAATCATCCGATAAATGCTAATTTCATTGCACGGAAATACGTAAAATTCCTGCTCGAGAAGCTGGGGAACAGGCAGGTAAGAGCACATGGGCCATTTTAAACATCCTTTACTTTGCCAGTGATGAGATTTCAGACCTTTCTGTAAACTGTAGCATGCTAAAGATAACATTGAAACTTGCTACTATGTGACTTTGTGAACTGACCTGAAATATTCTCCCTTACAGTGTACCAGGCCTATCCCTGAGAGACTCTCAGTCCCTGTAGAGTTTTTGCCACTTAACTACCTGATTAATATGCTGGCAGAAATAGAGGATCAAGGTAATGTTAATTTTGTACTTTGGAAGACCAGTATTTGATGCTCATGCTCAGCTGTATTCTGCCTATACTGACATAACAGAGTTCTAAAACTCCAGTGATACCTGCATGTGTAGGTTTGGTCATCTTATTGCAATTGGAATTGTCAGGACATTTCTTCACTGCATATCCTTTCATCCAGATCCTCTGGGTGTTGAATCCAGTTAGTAAACTTGTGTTTTTCAGGACACGTGCAGTGGAATGTGGCTCACCCACAGTGTGGTGGTAGCTGTTACTGTGTTCAAATGGGGAGAAGAGCTTGTTCCTTATTTACACAGTCTGGTGGCTAAGAGGCAACACAAATCAGATCTTCCACTTTGGAAAGTGGAAGATTACCTCTGAAGTAACAGGGTTGGTTTTTTGTTTGTTTTTCCTGATGCTGTTCCTTTTTATTTTAAATTCAGTTTGAATTGGGTAGGGTACTTACTTCATACAGTGAACCTAAGCATCTGAAGGCTTTTTTTTTTTTTTAATCCCCCTGGAGAAACAGGGTACACTAAGGGAAGCATTACATTCTTTAGCATTACTGGCTATGCTTGTACTAGCAAGCAAAATAAAGTCAGGATAAGGGCCTGAAGGCTAAAATAGTATTGTCCATGTATGGATATCATCCCATTTGGGGAGAGAAAAGAGTTAAACCACATAGAAGCAGGTGAGAATGTGTCCTGGTTGGTTTTCTATACTAGCACAAACGTATCCACTGTGAGTAAATCTTGGTTTGAATCTCTAGTGTAGAATTAGTGTGGAAGTCCCTGTTGGCCTCCAGAGATGGTCTAGCTTTCCTCTGTTTGGATATCATTTACTTATATCCCACTAACAGGGAAGTTTCTGGCATGGATGGGCATCCAAATGACTCCACTGAAAGCTGCACTTATTTTGTGTAAATGAAGGTCCATCTGTGGCCTTATCTCGCAGTACTGTAGATGAAGATGTTTAATAGGCTGCAGGACTAAGTGTGTGAACACAGTTCTTTAAATACTTTTCTCACAACGTTTTTGTAGGTGTGCATCCATATGAAAACCAAGACCACGTTAACGTACGATTTGTAGAGGAAACGGCACTCAAACACACTATGGCACGTCTGGGGCTCAAATATTCCTGAAATGACATGCTGTTGAAGAAAGCCAGCTGTGGTGCTCTTACAGAAAAGGAGTCACACAGAAGTGTGTAATTGACTTTCTTTTTGTGTGTGTTTGTTTTAAACTGAAATGTCATGTTGTTTTCTAAATAACTGGCAGTTTTGTGTAGCCACTATTACTGACATAAGTACTTGATTTTTTTTGGTGCAATGTATTAAGGCTGAAATCACTGACTTCTAGATAAATCCTAGAGAAATCTGTCTGAGACAAACCCAGGCGTCCTATGAAAGAAGTCTGTGGTTTCATCGGTTCATGCTGAAGTGGTCAAATGAGCAGAACGACGACGAGTGTCGAAACATGCTGTGAAAATTGGTATTGATAGCAATTATTTTAACAAGGTAGATGATCCTGAGAAAGGTCCAGTTTTATTGTACAGTAGCAAACTGCTGACTCGTTTATGTTAATGAAATGATTTCTTGGTGTGTTTGTAAAGCAGGTGAGGATAACTGATGAATCAGTTTCTGTATATAATGCATCAGTAATGATGTGCTCATTCCTTGTGGTGATCTTGTGCTCTCTTATGGTACTTCTGCCTTTGGAGTTGGATTCTAATATTCAGTTTTGTAATTAGTGCAAAACAGAATCTTCTTTAAGTGCATATGATGGTTCAGGTTTTTTTTTTTAAGATATTGTATAATATATTGTAAACAATACAGGATAATAAAACAGTTCTTTAGAAATGTACCTTAGCGGTGGCTTGGAAAAGGTTTTACTTAATTCTTTCCTTACAACTTCTAGTGTTACCACTCAAACCTCAGCTTCAGAAAGAAATTATGGAGGTTCTTTTTCATTAATATTCAACTTTTATTTATATATCACTGAAAAGCATTGCTTTAGGTTTTTTTTTTTTGATACTCTGAACTGTGACGTTTATTTAAAATAGTAATAGTTATTTGCTATGCAGAGAAAATCTGAAATTCTCACTGATTTCTGCAGTCTTTACTGGATTTAAAAACAACTCTATCAAAGTTTCAGACTGTTAAACTAATAAAACTCACTGACAACTTGATAGATTTTGGTTTTCAGTAGCAATCTCTAATATTCTTGGAGCAGTTTCCACTGATGGTTCTCTGTTCCTTACCAGTGAAATAAAAAGATCCAGTTCTCATGTGTGACTTGGCAAGTTTGTGGTCATTCCCACCCGTGAGGCAGCAGCTTTGGCTTTCTCAGTAACTGCATGGAGGGAAGCAATATTTTTCTCTATAATTAGAATGTGTCTGACAAGCATTAACTCCAGTCCTAGACTGTAGAAAGCTAGGTTGGTATATTTATGGAACTGTTAGGGACTTTGTTCTTATATTAATATAACACAAGATTTTCTAGACTTTTCTTTATATGAAATGTATCATAAAATACAATCAGGTGCAATAAAATTTCACCTGGAAAAAAAAGGTGCAGTGTGATGATCACTCATTTTTCTTAACCACACCAGATTTGGAGTATGAGGCTGCTCCCAGGCAGGAAGAGGGACCTTGGGCCAGTGACTGTTCAGCTCTGCTTCTGGCATGAGCTGCGTTGTTTGCAGGGTGGGGTTGGGCTCAACGGCGATGGACGTTCCTTCAGTGCGGGGTCAATGCTGCTGACCCTTGTGGATCAGCAACAGCCTCTCCTGCCTCAGGTGCCATCCCTTCCGATTTCGATTGGCTTTACAGTGGGCTTTCTGAAGTGTCTCATGTTTGCCCCGGGCTCACTGGGTTTGAAGGGAGCCCGTAGGGCCGCGGCAGCAGGAGGCTGTACTCGTCATGGCGCAGGTAGGTGGTCGGGCACTGCAGGTGGCTCCTCTTTCTGTGAGAGAAGCACAGAATGCTTAGTGATGATATGCTTTAAAACCCTGGTATGCTCCCGAGTACAGAGAGTATAGCTTGCCTAACAAAAGAAACGCCATTATAGTCGTTAGCAAACCAGAAAACCTAGAGGGGCATTAAAAAGAAAGTGTGAATAATTGACTGTTGAATATTGACTATTCTGATCTGATGTTCCATGCATCTGCTATGTGGAAGATGCTAAACTCATTTTTTCTGAACCTCTGCCCCACCTTTTGCAGCTTTACCTTGAAATCAGGTGGAAAGCAACACTTAACCAGTGGATATCTCAACCCTCATCCCAAAACATGGGCACACAAATTAATAATGGAAAGTAAGTCTTCCTTTTAGTGTGTTGTCTCCTTGGGATTCAACAACCAGTTCTAAGTGGTGTTGCCAGACTGCAGTTAAAGCTCCACAAACCCACCATGTACCACCTCAGTAGCTGTCTCTGTCTATACCATCACCTCCCCTGAGTCATGGAGCTCTGTGTTTGGCAGCAAGCAGCTACACAGTGAGGTAGCACAGCTCTTCCAGAAAGACAAAGTAGAGCAGTGAGAAGATGGGGCTGAAATCTAATTGAAACTTAGGGAAAAAACGTACTTCAGCTCTGGCTTCTTTTTGCATCTTCTCATTACGTAATATCTTCAACCATTCGTTTTCCATTTCTTTTGGAGGGGGAAGGCCTTGATCTATCCTTGATGAAACAGTAATCAAAAATTGTTCTTTGTCTCTCATCTTCTGCTGGAGTTTAATGGCGAGTGCTTGCTTCATGGATAACTCTGCAACAAGAGCCATCATCTTCTGGGTTCTGTCCTTTATCTTCTTCTGCAGGTCATTTGTCTGGAATAAATAACAATTGTATTTTAGTTAGGGCTTCCATTTAGACACCTACAAGAAACTTTAAGTGGAGTTGACTTAACGAGTATTTAAATTTAGTTTAAGTGAGTAACAGGGAATTGGGAGAGTCAGTGCTTGTGCATGTAACCTCTGTCACGCTGCCGTTTTTACAGGAGTTTATTAGCCCATGGCTGTGATTTCACAAACCAAAATAACACAGGTTATTTCTCTGTATGGGGAAAATGAAAGATTTACCATGTAAGATGTGTTTTGTTTTAAGCCTGAGCACAAACCGAATACCTAAGAAAAAAAATATCAACCCTGGCCCTGTTGTACATTAATTACTTAGCATTTTTTTTTTTTTCTCTCTTTCATTCATCTCTGTTCTGTTTGGAGCTTTTTCATTAAGGTGATGGAAGTGAGAGGATTTTTGTTCTTCCCCCCTGGCATTACTGGCAGTTAAAAGGAAATAGCTATAATTATATAAAAGTAACTGTATTGACATAGGATTTCTTTCCTGTGTGGTTCTCCCTACCTAAATAACAGAAACTTTTTGAGCCAGGTATCATATTTATCTTTTTTTTTTTTTTTTTCACGCTGACAGAATTTACCTGGCTTTTCCTGATTTCTTTTTAGCCTCTGACATGTTTGTTGTGGGAAGGCCGTTAAGTACATGAGCAAAAGGAAGATTCTACCAAGTTTCTAAGCATCTACATGAGAGAGAACTAATCTTACATTTTGGTGAAAGGCACTATTTATGCTGCAACTCTCGACTCACCTAATGCTTTTGGTACGTCTGTGTTACCGTTACTGCTATCTGGTTATAATTTCCAAAGACTAACATGATTTGCTATTGCTATTTCCAGCTGCTTTTGTAATTTGCAAGTGAGTCATTTTACCCCTTGCCCAGATCCTCTGTTTCATGTAGGGCAGCGAGCAGAGCCTGCAGTGCCCTCCTTACCCTTTTAGCTAGCAGCAGCCTGTCCTCCTTCCCGCTCTCCACCGCAGCACGGATTCTGTCCGTTATCTGGGAAACGTGCTCGTAGAGAAGAGCTGTCTCCAGCAGCTGCTTCTCCTCCTGCACCAGCTCCACTTCCAGCTGCAGCGAGGCGCATACAGGGTGTAGGTTAGGGACAGGGAAGGTGCAGCAGGAGGTGTTCTGTGATTGCTTTGGGAGTGGCTGATATAACACTGGTGAACACTACTATGAGTCACTGTTGCTGCTCTCAGAATTTTCACCCTCTCAGCCAAGTGTCAGGCCAAAGTTGGTTCAGTGGGTTTCTGAGATTGTACAGTTCTTCCATATCAGACCAGGCCTTTTGGGGGACGAGGGGTTACACCAGCATTATTACTGCTTCACTGTGAATTTCTTGAAAACAATGTGTGGTTTTTAATGATTTTTTTTTTTTTTTAAATCTTCTGATTCCTTGAGTTACATTGTGCTAAGAAGGTTTCAGCTCGTGCTTTAAATAGCTTTTCCCTCCTGCTGTTAAGAAAGTAAGTATCAGGTCAAAACACTAAGAAAGTGAAGTACTGGGCAGCTAAAAGGGCTTTGAAATCATAAGGAGATTGAAAGAGAACATTTAAACTTATCTCACAACTCCAAGAAACCTGGCTTTTTGATGTGCAGATTGTGCAGGTCAGTAATAGCAGGCTGTGTTGTAGCCTGCTTGGCTACGCAGGGCTCCTGTCCCTCAGGGAATATGGGACAGTAGAGCAAAAAGCTCAAGTAATTCAAGTAGCAGAGTTCATGGTAAATCCTTACCAACTACATTTCAAAAGAAGGACTTAGGGGTGTCCTGCAGTTACCCTAATACCTTCACAGCCCTTTGTGAATACCCTCTGTAACACTAAATACAGTGGAGGGAGTTTTGTGCCCCTATAAATGGGACAGAAAAAATCTCTAAGAAAATACCACTGTTGCTCATGCCCTTCCTTTACCTGCCTCCCAACATGCCACGCAGGAAGTGCCCTGAAACTGGAGAGCAGATGCTGGGCTGGAGTTCCCATTAGCCACTCATCATTTGTTCTGCCAATGACCAGGCCCGACAAAAAGGATACAGCCAGCAGGAAGATGAACCAATACACAGACTGTATTGTAGACAAGAAGGACATTCCATGAATGATCACTGGGGGTACAAACAGATCCATCAGCTGGTACATAATTGATGCCACCCCCAACAATCCCACAAAGGACATAACTCGGCCCACAACAGGTGGTACAGACAGAGACCCGAGGTTGCCCACAGTTGGCATGGGAAACAGCCAGACCAGCAAGCTGAACACATAAGAGAAAGGTGCCCACATGGCAACTCTCACCT